GAGAAGAGGGGGGAAGCTTGTACTGCATCTTCCCCCGCCCCATCCAGTTTGGAGCCAGGCACCGCCCCCCGTACTGATCCACCGGTGGAGATGGAGTAGGGTCGGGCTGGGAGCGGAGAGGAGATCTCCACCTGCCAGCAGCGGGCAGAGGAGGAGCAGGCAAGGCGAGGAATGACAGGGGGAGTGAAGGGGGACTAAATTGGCACCCCTCCTCCAGCATGGTGCCCGAGGACAACTATCCCCTTCAGCCCCCCTTTGCTACACCACTGAGCCCTTCTTTACCTTGAGATCTTTTCCTCTGAGATCCTTCAGCCTGGAACTTACAAGGTTCTCAAGGTACAAAATAATGGGCTTATTCAGTAAACTAAAATTAGAAACGATTCTCAAATGATAGAGCACCATAGATTCTAAAGCAAAAAAAATCCACACACCCTAGAAATATTGAATTTTCTGAGTACAAATGCCGTGCTTAACAATACAGGAGGAAGCATTGCAAGGAGGAGGCGTTGTAACTCGAACCCTCATTTATGATCGGTGCCATGGTAAATGTGGGCCAAGGATGCAAGTCGGGGGTTTTCAGCCCCATCCGCACTTACAACAATTGTTGTAAGTGCAGAGGGTCAGAACTCGGGCAGTAGCAAGTCGGGGGCCTCCTCTATATGAAAGTTTAACCTAATGAGAATGTTCAGTTTAAGACACTCAAACTAACTACGCCCTTCAAATTATATAAACCTCATCAGACTGCAGCACCAACAACAGCTGGACCAAAACACTCAGCAAAAGCAAACAGTAAAATTCTCTTCAAGAAAGATGAATGCTTTCCAATGATGAAAACATACTTTCTGCACCTCCTTTGACACTCAAAGGGGAGAAACAAAAAAAAACAAAAAAGGGACAGATGTGTGTGCATGCCTGCCACATGCACCAGAGCCAGAAGTTTTTCCCTAAGCAGTACCCATAGATGCCGGGGTCCCCAGTGCCCCCTGGAGAGGTGTGCATATACCACTCTATAAAGGCACTTCCTCGCCTCTCCCTCCTCAGTTACTTCTTGCCAGAATTCTGACAGAGGGAAGGGGGATGGGAAGTTGAATGTACACAAGCAAACATCTCTTGAAGAACACCAGTTACAGAACAGGCAACTGTCTCCTCTCCATCAAGTGCTTGCTCATCTCCATTCAACACTAATGGCTGCAAGCAGTGTCTGCGGAGGTGGATAGGAGTTAAGGACATGCAGACTGCCGTATAGCCCTGCCAAACGCAATGTCATCCATAGCCTGTTGCATGATAGCATAGTGAGATGTGAAAGTGTGCACCGATGATCATGTTGCTGCCTGACAGACTGAAGTGGGACATACGCGAGATAAGCGCATGATGAAGCCCAAGCTCTGGTAGAGTGGGCTCTGATCAACGCTAGCATCTGGGCCCTTTTCAATTTGTAGCATGTACGAATACAGGAGGTGATCCATTTTGAGAGCTGCTGGGAAGAAATACAGGAACCTCTCCCCTGCTCTACATAGCCCACAAAAAGCTGTGTGGACTTCTGGAAGGGTCTTGTCTTAAGTAGAATGCCAGTGTTGTGTAAATGTCCAATGTGTGGAGATGCCTCTCATTGGTTGCATGAGGTTTGGGATAAAAGACTGGCAAAAAAATGTCCTGACCAAATGAAAGGCAGAGACCACCTTAGGAAGGCTGTCTGGATGAGGCTGCAGCTGGATCTTCTCCATGAAGAACCAAGTATACAGAGGTTCTGATGTCAGGGCTTGGACACTCTTCTAGAGGACATGATTGCAATCAGGAAGGCTACCTTGAAAGAAAGCAACAACATAGGGCTCATGGCAAGGGACTCTAACGATGGTCCCATGAGCTACACCAAGACCAGGTTTAAGTTCCACCAGGGAAGATGATCTTGGGTCTGGGGGTACAGCTGTTCCAGATGCTTCATGAACTAAGATGTGACATTGTGGGAGAAGACATAACGACAGAGGAAATGTGGAAATGGGCATTAGGCGCACTCTAATGGTGGCCAGTGCAAGCCCTTGCTGCTTCAGATGGAGGCTTTGACAGGACAACCTGTCACTGCTGTGCCCACACTGAAAAATGAGTCCATTTGGCCATGTAGGTAGACCATGTTGAGGGTTTTGATTCTTGAAGAGATCCCTCCAAGCCTCACCCAAACACACCAGCTCTTGAGGGTTCAACTATGGATGAACCACACCGTCAGGTGCAGCAAGCTGAGCTTAAAGTGTAGGAAATGCTGATAGTCCTGGGCCAGCACATCTGGTTTCAGGAGCAGCTGCTTGGGCACGTGGGATACCAGATTCATGAGCGCCCCAAACCAGTGGTGACATGGTCAGGTCAACATGATGAGAATCATTGTCGCCTTATCCCTCTTGACCTTCTAGAAGACCTTGCCAATGAGGAGAAATGGAGGGAAGGCATAGAGAAGACCTTCTGACCACTGAAAAAGGAATGCATCCACTAGGGAGCCCTACTCAAGACTGAACTAGGAGCAGAATCTGCTGCATTTCACATTCTATTGTGTCACAAAGAGGTCCACTTTGGGAAAGCCCCAATTGCAGAAGTGGGAAGTGATCAGAGCTGGGTGAAGAGCCCACTCATGGTGAGAACTCTCTGCTGAGACGGCCCACTATTGTTTTGCATGCTCCTGGAAGGTGACATGCCTCTAACATGATGTTGTGAAGTACACAGAACTCCCGAGAGCTTCACTGCTTCCCTGCAGAGCTCTGGGTATTGGGCCCTAAATTGTCTGTTTATGTAGTACACGATGGTGGTGGTGTTGGTGAGAATGCGCATCTCCCTGCCCATAAGGCGAGGAAGAAAGACTGATCACCCTGAGCTCTTATTTTTAAATGGAGTGATCTCTCATGTACAGATCACACCCCTTGAGTCTGAAGGGTCCACATGTGGGCTCTCCAGCTGCACTCTGAAGCATCAGCTACTAGCTCCCTCAAATGCAGCTGAAGATGGAATGGAATGCTGGTCATGATGTGCTCCATCCTTGTCCTCCACTCTAGGGCCCTCGGGACATGAGGCAGGGCTGTTACCACTTCTGTCAAAGGATTTCCTGCCTGGTGCATACAGCGCCGCTAGCCATTAGTTGAAGGGGTCTCATCCTGACCCTGGCTAGGGGCACACCATGTGTGTAGGCAGTCATGTGCCCCAGGACTTGCAAAACACCCTTGCTGTGGTTATGGATATTCTGGCGAGCTGCTGCAAGAGGGCTGACAGGGCCTCAAAGTTCTCTTGAGGGAGCAATGCCCTGGCCTGGGTGGAGTTCAGGACCACCTCTATGAATTCTATCCATTGGGTTGGCACTAACAGTGACTTCTTTTCATTTATTAATAGGCCGAGCTGGTGGCACATGTCCAGAAGAAGACAGTTGCGTTGGACCTAGATCCTCGACAGACCTCTGAGAAGCAAACTGTCCAGGTCAGAGTACTTACACTCCTT